GGGGGGGGGGGGAGAGAGCGAATATCGAGTAACGAGGTGAAGTAAGGCAACGACGCGTACATACCTTCCGCCAGGACCTCCTCAACTGTGACAGTGTGTCGGCCCACTACGAACACTTTCCCCAGGTAACTGCTGGGTTCCTTCGACGTGTTGTCGATCTTCGAGAATAGCTTCTTCATGTTGGCGCGCCTTCCCCTCGTCGTCATCGGCCTCTCTCCCGACCGCGAACCGACTTGACATAAGGCTCCCCGCGCTCCGCTACGCTCCGCTCCGCTCGGGCTAATCCTCGGCAGCTGCGATCACCGCCCCCGGAACGATACGGGATATCAGGAGAGGTGTAGTGTCTCGCGCTTCGTAAGATACGACGCGGTACGGCACGACACGGCACTCGCTCGCTCGCTCGCTCTCTCGCAACTGGACTTCTCCTCCTCCTCCTTCGCCGCCGCCACCACCAACACCTCCTCCTCCTCCTGCTGCTCCTCGTTGTCGTCGTCCTCCTCCGGAGACCTGATCTGGATCTCCGGACGGCGAATACAGTTACGCAGCAGTGGCCGCCGCCGTCCCGACTCCTCGACGACGCGATGCCGCTGACACGAACCGGACGCGCTCAACCGACGGAATTCGCCACGCTCATGTTCGCAGATGTATCTTAGCGTACGTTGCGCGCATACCCCGCACCGCGGTCGGTCGACATATTCAGGCCGTGGCCCGACTGCGCAGTCGCGCCTCCGCAGCGACGAGCAACGGAAACATATGTGCGCGACTTCCGGCCGAATGTCAAAACCCCGTAATCGCGGGGCGCGCGCGGCCTCCGAGGAAAAATCGAGGCGGCGCGTAAAGGCCGAATCACACCGGCTGTTGAAGATTACTTTTCTCTTATTATAGTCTATCGGAGAAAAGCAGCCGTCGATTGAAATTACCTAGCGCCATTCGGGAACTGCTCTATTTCACGATCGTAGATCAACCGGCAATCGGTAGTGTGATTTGGCCTTAAAGCCCGTGTCAAACCAGGTGTTGCAGATGCTATCCCGTGAGGATTATGGATCGAAGATCGGGACTTGACCAATGAGGGACGAAGAGAGCCAACGTCGAGATTAGTTGATTCGTCGGGACTCAATTCGTCAGCCTCGATTGACTGCGATACGCAAGGGGCGAACGTGAATCTTTTCTCTCCACTGTGAATGTCGTGGAAAGTGAGCGTTTTTAAATGCTTTCAAGTTAGAAAGTGTACGTTTCTCACGAGTTCATTCTTGAGAAAAAGGTCCATGATCGGACTCGGTCTGATACGGGCTTAACACTGCAACACCGTGCTACCAGGAGCTCAACTCTCGAAATCATACGACATTGTCGCGTGTGACACAAGCCAAGTAACTAAAATAATACTAGAATAATACTAGAACCAATCGACAATCTAGTATTATTTTAGTAACTTTGTTCACGTTGCATGCGACACGATCTCGCACGCTCCCAAGGATTAATGATTCAGGACAACCAAAATTTTGGGTCGGGACGATCAAAGAACGATTAAGCCTGCGTTGGATTGCGGATTAAGATTGAGACTGAATTGAAATTTAACCAATCACAACGAAATTCACTAATTTGAGTCTAGTTTATTTTACTAACTGATAAAATTTCAATTCAATCTCAGATCGGTATTCATAGTCAGATATTACATTTAAGACCTTCTGAAGTTCATCTTCAGATACTTCGTAGCCAATGAAACAAATCGTACAGCAGCAGAAGATTAACTTAAGGCAATCTCAAGTAAGATCAGACTGTGAACACCTGCTTATGATTGGTGTATCTGCCGATCACATTCGTCATCCAAAAGTCACCGCTCATCTGTTGCGTTCGTTGAACGCAATCAATCTCGTACGTACGCTTCATTACGCTTCAACGTGTGTGTAAATTTCTTAAACTGGCGCAGCCAGTGAAGATAAAAAGAACAGACTAATACTTGGCGATCCGTGTGGAACTTGCTTCATGTACTTTTATTTATTTACATTCAGTTGTACGATACATCGACCTAGACAACGAACACATTTGTATAGAAAGACTCAATTGTGGTTATTCGCAACCTAAGTAGCATGTTACGAACGACGGGATCGACTTATACTCTGTACACTTTCGAACATTGTCTCGGATAATGATAACAATAACGGTAATGATGTAATAATAATGTAAATAAACAATATAGAAGTATTTGCTTGACGACCATGTGCTTTCCAGACAACACAATGTCTAAAATCGAGACGTAAGACGTGTCCAACGTGTTAGAACATGGAATATCTTAAAGGCGTCTTACAGGTATCTTTAGAACGTCTTGCGTTCCGATTTAAGACATTGTGTTGTCTGGGTTAGTTTGTTGGTGAACTACATATATTTATTTTGAATACTTAAATAATAACCAAATCAGATTTATAATCAATATTAACCTATACATATTAATCATCTCATTAAACAATTAAATATATGATATACAAAAACAAATCAAATATCATGATACAAAAGCTACAATCTCGGTACAATCTCGAGGTTACTGAGTATCTTTCATTAATTTACCACAAGGCGAGACAAACATAACAGATTTGTTCAAAAGGACACATCGAGTTGTTCCTGAGGGAGGCTGTGACTTGATATTGTGATTTTGCAGATATCCCAAAGAAAAGATGGAATTTCTATAACTCTGTTTTGATTCAATAATAATTGATACGCGTAATCTTGCTCGAGAAGAAAACCGAAGCGCTACCGGTAAGTATCATGTGTCTTACTCATCAGAGAAGTTAAACAATGTATCATATCATTTGACTTATTTTGCAGTAGCGATCAAAGCGTGTACATAGAAGCGAATTTGATCGGTCAGTCAAATTTACAATGAGTGAGTCCGACGATTCAGATATCTTGGCGGATATAAAGGCCTTGGATGATGCCTTGATGTTGGAGGCCAACGACAAGACTGATGATTTGTGGCACGATTCTCACGACGACAGCAGTTTATCTATGAACGGTGAATCCGAGGATTCACAGAGTGAAAACGAGTACTATATCCAATCGCGTACTGAGTTTATGAATGCCTACGAGGTCAATAAGAAACTGCTGAAAGGCCTGATGATGGCTAAGAAGAAAGTGAGCGTTCTTCTGCAACAATGCGAGGAGAAGCTGGAAGAGTTGAGCGAGGAAATTGAAGCGGGCAAGGACGGGAGGACGTTGAACGAACGTGCGAGATACTCCATAGTCGGCATGCCGTATTTCAAGGATAAACGTGGCTTCCAAGTCCCGAAGAACCCCGACACGAGGTTGAAGGAGGCACGGGGGGAATTGTCTGTGATACATTTAAGAAAGCCGTGTCGCTGGTCCGGTAAGGACAGGACGACGCTTTTAAACGGCATATGCGACGAAGTTTTCCAGTCGTTGTCGATATCGGGCCCTTCTTTCGCGGGGACTGACCGAGCGTCTGATAGAAGGAACAGTTCTCCCGCCGAAACGACGGCCAACAAGGAGCCTGATGAAAGCGGCAACGCCGCGGATAGTTCAGCCGAGAGGACACTCGAGATTCCCATTAATTTCAACGAGATGGTAGGGCCGATAGGCGAGCGGGAGTTTGATTGGATGAAGATAGCCACACAGTATTTCGAGAACAAACATTCGGCGAGCGAGTGCCGGTCCATGTGGAACGTCTACTTGCACCCTGACATCAAGAAGAGCGACTGGACCGCCAGGGAGGATAAAGAACTGCTGAGGCGTGCGAGAGAGTGCAATTATCAAGATTGGAACGGCATCGCGACGAAGCTCGATACGAAGCGCAGCGCGTACCAGTGCTTCATTCGATTCAACACCATCCACAATTTGCCGGTCAGGGGACGCAACTGGAGCAAACTGGAGGACAGTCATCTGCAGCTGGTGATAAATAGACTCCAGATCGGGAACTACATACCCTGGGCCGAGGTGGCGACTTACATGGACAACAGGACGAAGCAGCAGGTTTACACTCGGTGGATGTACAGGAAGGCGCCGCACTTGGCGAAGGGTAGATTCACGTATTTCGAGACGCAGACCCTCCTGAAGGCGGTGAATCGATACGGCACGAACTTCGGCAAGATCTCACGCTGCGTGATGCCGCACCGGACCTCGGTCCAGCTCAACGGCCATTATCACACGATACTGTGCAATAAGAGGAACACGTGGGCGTACGAGGATGACGTGAAACTGATCAAGCTGTACAAGAAGTACCGTAACGATTGGGTCGAGATAGCGAAGAATTTTAGCCACAAAACGAGGACGCAGGTGAGACAGCGGTACAGATCGTTGCAAAGGTTTGTAAACAGGGGTTACAATATCTTCTCTATACCTCGGCCCTATCGGCCGACGTTGCTCAACAGTAGAAACACCGGCGCGTCATCGTCGGCATCAACGTCGTCCAACAGCGTCGAGCCTAACGCGAACACGTCGCGATGCAACATTTCAAGCGGCACGGTTCGAGCAAGACTGTTCGAGAACCTGAATTATCCGCCTACCGCGGCGAGCACCAGCTCGCAAGAGCTTTACGACGCTAAAGAACTCGCGCGTAACGCCAAAGAGTTGCACGACGTGTTGAAACTGCTGGACGCTAATCTCGATATCTCGAATCACTTCTTCGATTACGCGCACCTGAGCAAAAAGGAGAGGCAGCTCTTTACCTCCCTGAAAAAATACACGGACACGCGTGATCGCGTGAGCAGCGACGAGCGCGACAAGATAATCGAGGAATTCAGGTGTCGGATGTTCGGCCCGGAGACGGAAGTTACCCCTCATTTCGTACCGCCGCTTCCATTTAACGGGTACGTCAAGAGGAAGAAGAAATACACGACAAATTCGATAAATTATAATTCCGATTGCAGCGAGAAATTCCTCATAGACGTGCCCGCGGACATGGTAACCCCTTGTAACGTTAATTCCTGCCTCGTCAGCGTCGAGGAAGAGATGCAGTTTCACAAACTCAGCCAGCTCTTAATCGACGATAGTTACGGACGGGATATTAATTCATACGCACCGTTGAAATACAATCCCTCTCTTACTGAGGTAAGAACTCGAGCCTCCTTGAGGCTCAGTCCGGACGCGGGGATAAAAGTGGAGAATTGCGGAACAGCAGCGGCACAATCGTACGAGACGCGGGAAAGCACGAACGCCGAATGTGCGAACGAAAACGACGCAGAGATGGACACGTCGGATGCAATCGCACCGTGCCATGAGACCCTGTTAGGTCTGAAAAACTTGTTTTACTGGAAAATGCTGTTCGAATATGAAAGGAATAAATTTTGCCCGACATCGAGAAATGGCGCGCAACAAGCGAAGAGTCCCGAACATGAAAGGGCGTATCAGATACTGAAGGTGCGTCTGATGCGTTTGTTTAAATTACCCCTGGCTCTGTCACGTGTTATGATAAATGTGTCCAAAGAATTGATATTCCTAACGGAGGAATCGATGATGAAATCGTCTGAGAAACGAGCTAGAAAGAAAAAGACGATATTTGCGAATAGCAGTGTCACGTAGAATTCATGTGGGAAGGTATGATCACAGGACTCTGTGATATAGGGAAATCGTAAATCTCACAGCGCGAAGCTGAAGAGGGATCTTGAGGGAGGACGAATTTGCGAAGTGACGGGTTCATTTTCTTGATCATTGTTCACGCGGCAGGTGTAAAATCTGTGTCTTGCTTAATCTTAAAACGAATGGAAATGTTTTGTTTAAATAACACGTGAGAGTATTTATGTTAATGGCATGTATTTAAAGTGATACAAGTAACACGATATAACTAATTAAAAATTGTTATTTAGGAAGCACGAAAATTCTTTTTTTATTACTCACATTCTCGAGTGTGTTACATTTTCTTTATATCGAAGTAGGCGGTTGTAGGACCGACTTTGTTTAATACAAATATATAGTTTTCTGAAAATAATTCATAATGTATTATGTATAATTGTGATAATTTGAATATTATATTGAAATATATATATATATATATATATATATGTATATAAATGTATATATGTACAAACACACATATGTTACAAACATGTACTTAGAGGGAGTAAATAGAATATATATATTGCAATTACCAAGTTTGTGTTGGAAGGCCGTAAGAATAAAGCAGTTTATTAACGAGAAATTTAGTTTCCTAGTTACTGACTAAATGTAAGAAAACATAGAATATCGACCATTTACGCGAGAAAATATACTTTGTATATTGAAATTCGCGTTTTTTTTTCTCTCTCTCTCTCTCTCTTTCCCTCATTTACTTTTTATTATAAATAAATACACTCTCTACCTTTCACTTCGATATAAATTTTTTATATTAACTGAAAATAGCAAAACTAACCATATTAAATAACGCAACAGTGACGTTTATGAAATGAGAGTTATGATAATTTTAAGATGATGAATCCTACAAATAATATACACGCCCTCTGCAATCACTGTTATAAAAGCTTATAATGCAGATAATCTTACTAATATAAAGAAGACGCAATAAAATGCATTCGGAAAATGTCGCTCATTGGAAGATGAGCGATACAGTCACGTTCGTTTCACTGAATTCATCATTTAATGATTTTTTTTTATACAAAACAACGCATATCGCTTCCTTATCTGTCTGAATTCAGACCGACTTCAATGGAGACTTACTGCATGCATAATGCATTATCATACGTGTTTCATTATTATATATCCATAATGGTTAATATTGTCTGATAGAGACCTATTAGATGAGAAGAATAAATGCAGACATACATGTTACATAAAAAAAAAAGGGGGGGAAAAAAACGAAAATATCTGCGTATTTCTAAGTTGCAACGTGATGCAATTCTTAATTGGTATACGTGTGTATGTTTACGGCTTGTAATTCTATCTTATTAACACTCAATATCTTTTAGTTATATAACTCGCAAGTTTTCGTAACGATTATTGCTCAGTGTTTACTTCCTTCTTGACATTGAATTGCTGTAACCCGTCACGATTATGACTGACCCCGCCGTGAGAATACTCCACAGGAGTAAACACGCTTCCACTTTACCGGCCAAAGATCTCAAGTTGTCCAGGATCAATTTGAGCGGCTCGTTTGTGATCTTGGAACTCGGCTTCTCTTGAAGAATCTTCATCTTCTTCAGGTACTCGATGAGCGGCGGGTGATCCCGGCTGAATATCGGGAAATATTCTCCCAATTTTTCCCTGGTCCACCAAGCATGAGTATTCGATCTGCGTGTGTGTGTGTGTGTGATAACAACGTTACGAATACTGTTTTCATTTGCAATCAGTGTACGAGAAGAACATACAGAGCATTCATCTACTCTGCGAAAAATCGCACTTACGTTTGGCTCCACGGTGTGTAATGATAATAATAGAGACTGGCCTTGATATATTTCGGCGGTCTGTCTCGGAACGGATTTTCGACAGTGTTCATCAACGCTAGCACCTCAGGTTGCCCAGTCAATAGGCGATAAGCTAACGGCATTAACCAGGGATTCTGATGGTATGTACCTAGAGCGGCGAACCACATTTGCCAATCGAGGCGAGGTTGATGAGGTGCTGCAAAAAGACGAATGCTTTCAATGTCAAACATTTTTATCTCTTTCGCAGCGTCAACTTATAAGTGCAGTTTAAACGGTGCTTTGTGCATTAAAATTCGATAAGAAATGTACGTGTATACAGGGTGTTCCAGGTCAACATGGAACTCGAAATTTTGTGTTTGCGAAACGGTAGAAGACCTTTTCTTCATCTCGATCCATTCTACGTCCTCACTAAGTTTGTCCATGTTGATCTGGGACACCCAGTATATTGGTAGAACTCGTTCTCATCGTATACTTATTGCTGTATCTAAAATTCCCTCACCAACGAACGGTAATGAATTGTTAACGTTTCCCGGTTTATACAAGAACTCGTATTCCTTCCACGGTCCATCGATACTGTCGCTACCTTCTATTATAACTTCCGGTCTACCTCCGACTCCGGTCATACGGCGGAACAGGCCGTAACTGTTCACCAGATGAAGATGATCCACCTTTGCGTGAGCTTGTTTCAGCTGAGTGGGTATCGTCGAGTTGTGCGACGAGTGTAAAGTTGAATACGGTACCTGCAAGCATTCGTCCCGCCTTTCACACGTGAGTCACGCATGCGTTCTATCGTGGTATTTCCAGCGATTACAAGCGGAATGATGTAACGTTCACGCGTGATGGAATTGTTTGCGTACTTACAAGACTTATAGAAAAGATCGACCATACAGCTATAACGTAGAAAATTGTAACTACGGTCGACATCATTTTGTTGTATATCCCTCTCACAGATGATATTGAGTTAACTATCGCTTCCAGCGTCGTAGCTCCGAGAGATATTATGCCGATATATATAGAAACGGGTATCGCACGAGACAGAACGTAATCAAATTGTTCCTGAGTAAATGCTGTTAAAAAAAAGGGGGGGGGGAGGGAGAGAGAAAACAATGGTAAACTTACTTAGCGGAGACTACGCCAGATCGTTACCGATTGTTGCCGATAAGATATTAATAAATACCAATACTCGATTGAATGGTCCAGTTGTCGGCGATCTTAAGATTATAGTAAATGTACGTTCCGTACATTAGCGCTCCGTAAATCAACACGGCCAGCACCGTGGACTCTGTGCTGAAATTACTTATGATGCGAGACCCGTCGCTCCGTGACCGTCGTTTGTAAAAGAACTGGTCGTCCAGCAGGGATATGCATAAGCAGATGGTTAGGAAATTGAAGAAATTGTAGTTTCCGGTGAGGATGATGCAGAATTGTAAGAACACCTGGAACACGACAGCGTTGTCAAGTTGTTACGCGTCATGACTGAAGTGTGACCCGACCGATGATCGACGTGTCCATGGGAGGACGTCTCGTCTCTCCGCAGATCACACATACCTGAGTATAAAGTGCCACTCGCTTCACTTTTTTGTCGGGGAAGAAGAATAAGAACGGTACGGCGAGCTCTATGACGTTTGTGAAGACGGTAGACAAACGGAGGAACCAGATCGGCAGATGATGAGCATACCAGGCCACGGGAGTAGGTATGCACTGAGACTCGAAATGAACATACAGAGCTGCAAAACACGGGGCGCATCGCGATTAACGCGTTTGTACGCAGATCATTCATCACTCGCCACGAAATGCTCCGTGAAAATCATTAGTATATATATATATATATTTTTTTTTTACCATCCAACTTCCACCATGTTGCACATCCCGAAGTAAGCTTCACCACTCCGCTAGAAAACATGAGACGGAAGAGCAACCAGCGCACAGTCCAGAAGGTCACGGCGTCGTTCGGTGTGTTCGATTTCCAGCGCGGATACCACAACGGTGCCGCGAGTATGCACAGAAATCCCGCCTCCAGCAGCAGAACATCCCTGCAAGCGGAGCATGTAAAGTGAAATTAGTGAAACTGATCGAATTATTCACAATCAAATGAGCAAATTGTTATAACAGTAATACGAAATATGTTCTATTTATATTTCACATGTATCACTTCAATAAATATTTATATACTATTTTTGTGAGTTCAATAAATATTTATATACTATTTTTGTGAGTTAAATGATAAGGGATGATATGAAATGTTCTTATATGTTTCTTATCTCACTATTGATTATTTTACATGTGATTTCATTTGATATTTTACAGAGATTCTGTATTGCATAAAGTTGAATTAAATTCTGTAAAAGACTGGAGCAGTTTACAGTATTCTTTCAATTGGAATTGATACCATCCTTGTCGCTGAAAGATAACTGTCAGCGATGTTCAGTTGAGTTTACGCATGTATATGCTTAAACTTATAAAAGTTTATACATAAAGTATCATAAATGAGTCAACAATAATCCAACAGCAATCACGTATCTTGGACAAATATTTGAGATATCAGGATCAACATATTTTACAGACATTCAGTGTGAGTATAAAATGTGCGAGTACAAATTATATTGCAAATAAAAGATGATGGCTGTGAAGTGACTCACCATTGAAACCACATGAACGTTTGTCCAATCTGGTACAAGGAGTAATACAGAGACCATAATCCTGCAAACACTGGCATAATGCAGAATTTTTGCGAGACAAATCTGCAAGCAAATTTAACTTTGAACGTTAACCATTTTTGCTGTTATTATAACAGTAAGATTCGCAAACTTTTATTATTATATTGTGAATGTTTTAGCAGTAAAAGAATTCTTTCAATCTGACTAATTTTATAAATTATAAATATAGCATACCCTGCAAAGGAGAAAACAACTCCAAGAAGAGACAATACATCTAACATATATTCCACATTTAAGCCTAGATAAGGCGCAAACCATAACAATGTCGGCTTTTGCTTCAGCTTATTGAATAATGTTGCACGCTTCTTGAAATCCACCTGTGTTTTGGCCGGTAAGATTCCATTGTCACCGTACAATCCTATTTTTATAAAAATACACATCTTTTTAATTTACACTGATATTTCAAACTAAATAATAAGAGGGTCTTATAGAAATAATTGCAATATTCCATTCATATAATATCTCTACAATAACGTTACAAAAATTCTGTGAATACTTTTCTGGTGACAACTGGCGCACTCGTAATAAATAATTTCAATATAGTAACGATATATATACGATAGTACGATATAGTAGCGATATAATAACTTATGTATGAAGATGTGTGTTTCCTTTTCTACCAAATATAAACTCATAATCTGGACATTTGTCCAAATTACGCTGTGCATGTAAACATGATTGAACACCGGTGTATAACGAACGGTGTATAACGAACGAGAGATTTTCTACGTGACGTTTCCACAGTACATTTCACGTTATACATAATAATAATTATACATGACTGTCACCAATAAACGTTGATTATTTTTTTTTCTACGTGATAAGTATCGAACATCCTTTAAATTAACATATCTCGCGAGTAAAGCCGAGAAGAGAGAGGAAACCCTCAAAATTGCGGCGACGACCACTAAACGGAAGGAAACGAGAATAGTCTTAGTTAGCCTTTCGTCGACTAACCCGTATACCTACCCGGAATCTGTATATAAAAGCTGAGGAAGGCGAATAGGTATATGATGCAAATTCCGCGCAGAAACAAGTTGCGAGTGTAACGCACTTGTACCATAATTGCGCCTAGTGCAGCCCCGATTTATGTTAGAAAGCTCGCGTTCAATCGCGAAAATGCGCGACTACGCCGCCGGCAACACATACACATACACACACACACACACAATGGCGTGCGTCTTCAACTCTAGCGGTATCACGACGATCCTCACTCGAGCGAGACGCGTATATAACGAGACGGTGCAGAAATGGCAGGTGAAAACCGCCGAACCACCGCCGAACCACCTAACGCAGAATTCACACGTGGCGAATTTAATCACTACCGCGCTACACCGCAGTCGCTTTTCAGCAAGAGATGCAAGTCAGCACGAGTCTAGTTGTATCAGTTGCTTTTCAGCAAAAAACAGGTCGACACAAGTCTCGTTCGTATCATCTCATCCATTCTTATTTATTTCGTTATCCTTTTTTTCACTAATGCCTGTTTTTATCATCAGAAAAATCATTAAAAATCTAATCGACGATTAACTCAAAGGAATTGACTTTGAACCCCATTGGCCAATAGCTGAATCGATCAATACGATTGGTCTATTTCGTTGAGTTAATCGTCGGTTAAATTTAAATCATGATGTTAGAAACGAGCACAAGGTCCACTTGCATCAATTCCGGTTAACCTAACCGACCGATTAACTCAACAGAATTGACCGATCGTACTGTCCAATTAGCTAATTCCTATTGTTCGCAGGGCCCAATTTATTGGCACCTGTTCAGCAATGCAGCTAAAAAGAACAGACCACGTTTGTCTAATCTGCCGCCACTGTGGTGAGAATGTATGGCCGTGCACGTTTCAATGAGGTCTGTTCGTGTTGCTTGCACTTTTGACACTTTTACACCTAACGTCCATTGCACATTAGCCACTCTATGTGCAACGGGCATAGAATATAAAAGTATAAAAGTGCAAGCAACGTGAATAAACAAACCTATGGTTAGAATTTAACAATTTGTCGTCATCTTATAGCCATCTATAGCAAAATTTTGCATCCCTGGTGCGAATAAAGGTTAACGCCATGGTTGAACCCGGTACATCCACATCAGAGTCTTCAGACAGCGGAATACTGAAGAATATTAAAATGGAACCTGGTCTGCCAGCCTCAACGCAAAGATTAACATCTTACCGTTTGCCACGAGATCTAACATTAGGCGGAAATGTTAAGATTGAGAAGCCGAAGAGGATTTACATGCCTAACCTCAATGCTCAGCGGAACAAGAGGAAGGAGTGAGTTTATCGTTCAATTAATATAATATTCTTGCAACATACTACATTACATTTTCAATTTCAGTGAACCGGTAACATCTAAAGTTGAGCCCACAAAGTCGAGAGACAGTGGACCCAGAGATCGTGGAAGAGGACAAAACAGAGGAGACAGAGCACGTGGTAGAGGAAATGTAATACAAGTAAGTCTGATGAGCAGAACCACAGAAAAAAAGAAGAAATATTAGAAAGAAAGATGTTATTGTGTTTTCTTGTCATCTATCTTATATAAATATATGTTGATGGATAGAAAATAGCGACTACAGATGTTGGATATTATAAACACTATAATTTGTTTTCTATTCTTGCCTGGGTTGGTTGCTGCTAGTTCGTGCTATTTTCCTTTTCCTTTCTTTTTTGAGACATGGTGGTAAAGAGGAAAAAAGGAAACTAGTGCAAACTAGTACAGGAATAGAAGATAGATCCTATATTGCTATTATTAGAAAAGTAAGCATTACTTGTGACAGTTTTTTTCTTGGTTCTGAATAAAGATAAATATGAGTGTTTTGAACAACTCTTGACAACATCATTCAAAATTCTGAATAGAAAATAAGAAATTCTTAACACAGTGAGTGCTGTGTTTTTCACATAAATTTCCATTAATTTTCATTATTGAATAACATGCGCTATATGGCTTAAACAGAAACTCTAATTTTGAGCATCAATAGCGACGTAGCATTTAATGTATTAAGAAAAAATAACCTTGACCTTGATGATACAACCCAACTGTCGATACTAACAAAACAAACCACTTTATCTGTCCCCACATATTTTAGACAAACTGTATGTGTGAAACAGACATAAGCTAATCCTAGAAAAAAAATGATAAACATGACTTTCAAGCCTTGCTAATATAACTAAATTATTTCTTCTACTTTGTAGCATAAATCATATATCATATCTTTTTTTTTACTTTTAGTCTGTGGGTGTGTGGTCGGAAGGTGTAAATGTACCTTTAGCTAATAGAAGGTCGGGTAGTTCAGGAAGTCGTATCGCAAGTGCCAGAAAGTTCCTGGACAGACCAAAGATGGACTTAAATAAAGTTGTTAATAAAGTAGAAGAAGAAAAATTGAGAAATCTTTATCTGGGAGACGATTCTGGCGATAATAATATAGATCCTGATGTAAAAATTGATTATATAATGCTGCCTATGAAGGAAGACCGTAAGTTTTCCATTATTACAATTTACTAATATGTGCTTTCATTTGTGTACACATGTTAATCCTGCGCTTTTGTTTAGATGTTAGAAAATCGTATAAAGAGGAGGTTAAAACAGAAATCGACTCACTTGCTGCCGAAAGTGAGATTGATAGGAAACCAATCATTTCGGAAAATGGTGAAGGTAAATCTAAATTTCTATTTCATTTAATTTTACAACACTTGTATATCTCATCCGTCTTCTTTTACAGTGAAAAACGTGAAGAAAGAACAGAAAGTAAAGACGGAGATGTTGACAGAGAAGGAAGAATTGGAAGATTCAAATAAGCGAGTCCAGGAAATAATTGAGAACCAATCCAATTCTTACATACTTATGCAAGTGTGTACATATATTTTATGTTTCATTATGACTATAAGTGTGCCACTTCCTTTAAAGTTTACTTCATTTAACTGATTACAGTTTCCACCAGGCTTGCCAGGCCTGATATCTAACGATGACAAGGATGAGCCGGAGGAATCAAACCGACCAAATGACTCCAGGTTAACCACTAGCACAAATGATAAAAAGAAAGTCTGCAACACCCTGGGTGATGTAAAAAGTAGCGGTCTCATAGGTAAACTCCAAATTTTGAAGTCTGGTAAAGTGAGGTTACAGATTGGTAAAAACTATTTCTTGGTCTTCGACGGTACACACTATACGTCCCTTCAGGTAAAAAAATTATGCTTCAATAATTAGCCTTTATTCATGAGATACTGTGTTATTGCGATTTTCATTAATCGACCGTCATCTTTCTTTAGCACGTTTTAGCTGCAGATCTGGACACGATGTCATTAACTGGCGAATTTGTCAATCTTGGTCCAGTAAAAGACAGCCTATCATGTGCAATACATGTTGATTATATGCTAGGCAATGTTGACATCAGTTAAACTCGAGAAACGTTCTATGTAATGACGTCATTAAGCTTCGTTTATAAAAAAAATGCTTGCAACATTACCATAACCATAGGTAAATATAGGTGAAAAAAATGATAGACGTACATAACATATAATAAAAGTATTTTAATAAAGAAGAATAATTCTTAATGTTTTAGAAAGAAAAGTGAAGGTCCCTTTCAATCTGTCACTTATTGCTATTTTTTTTTACATGGAAGTAAGAAAAGTTGCCTGATGCTGTTGAGTTGTATCAGACATTTTGATTCGTCGATAAAAATAATAGATGTATGAGAGTAGTTTGAAAAGTTTTGAGCTTAACATTAAAAACAAGTATTTTTCTAGTCAAATGCAATTTCATCTTTCAACATAGTCTCCTTTTAAGTCGATACACGTTTTCCAGCGATGCTCTAACCTCTTTAACCCTTCCAAATAGTAACTGGCGTCTTGTTTTGCAAAATAGGCGTTTACGGATGCGATGACCTTCCTTTTCGACGAAAATCTCTGTCCTCTGAGCCAAAGTCTGAGCTTAGCAAACAAGAAAAAATCGCTGGGGGCTAGATCCGGTGAATACGGTGGGTGGTCAACCAATTCGAACTGCAGTTCATGAATTTTGGCTATGACGGCCGCCGAAGTGTGAACAGGTGCGTTGTCTTGATGGAACAGCACTTTCTTCTCCTTCAAATGCGGCCGTTTTTTTGCAATTTCTGCCTTCAGCTTGTCAAGTAATGATGTGTAGTATGCCACTGTTACTGTCTTATTTTTTTCAAGATAGTCGATGAATACTATTCCATGACTATCCCAAAAAATAGTCGCCATCACCTTCCTGTCTGATGAAACCGTTTTCGCCTTCGAAGCAAGTTTATCCCTCGCAGTCCACTGTTTTGACTGTTCTTTCATCTCAGGAACACAATAGTCGATCAAAATTTCATCAACAGTTATGAAACGACTCCAAAAATCCGATTCGTTTCGCTTAAACTGCTCTAACAGGGCCTTGGAAATGTTCATTCGAATGCGTTTTTGGTCTAAAGTAAGCAAACGTGGCATCCAACACGAGGATAGCTTACACATGTCCAATTCTTCAGTCAATATACGACTAATGCGTTCTTTCGATATGTCCACAGCATTTGCTATCTCTCTGAGATTGATTCGATGATTGTCCAGTATCATTTGGCGAACTTTATTGATGTTATCAATGGTGGTCACAGTTTTTGGCCGACCCGAACGCTTATTATCAGCCAAGCTGGTATGACCACGTTTAAATTTAACCGTCCATCTTTTCACGGTGATAAATGATGGGGCAGAATCCTTGTAAACAGCATCCAACTTGGCTTTAATTTCCGCGGGCGTATCGCCTTCCAAACATAAGAATTTAATGACCGCACGATATTCGACTTTTTCCATTTTTACAAAAACACCGACATCGACCGACACGAACGACTGCTGAACAACAACTGAGCGTCCAAAATGGCTGAAATGTTTACAGGTCATCGTTCAAATCATGTGATTGTAGTACCAGAATGGTTTTGACGAGTAACGCCATCTTCGTGTCGAGGCTCAAAACTTTTCAGACTATTCTCGTATAAGTACTATAAAATATCATAGTAATACTTAATTAGATATAAATCATTATTTATTAGATATAATTAGATATAAATATCATTATTAGTAATACTTAATTAGATATAAATTAATTAGATATAAAATAAATTACAAAAATGTTGGAAATTAATCGATTATTCTCGACTGTTTTAAGGAGATCGCTGGAGCGACAGATCGAACTTCGACGAGAAAGCATCCTCAACTAAGCGGAACTAAAAGTATCGATAAATTCTGGACGTTTTAAATGTGACCAAATGGGATTAAACGTGTTTAATGAGCGTAAAACATATTTAAATGAGCATGCGAGAGGATATGTAGAAATGTGTGGGAAAGTGTGATGGAACAAATGAATAATACAGGAGAGAAAAAGAGAGAATTATATACTGCTAATGCTTTTCTTACCATCCTGCATTTACATTAAGCGCGTGCAAATGTATAAAACCCATTCGACTACTATACTTTTTTATTAGACCACTCTTAGTTTTATTAATATACCATTGTTCCTTATGTTAGTCTAAAATACAGGATACAGTAGTTTTGTACATACGAACTGTACAATTTTTATATTGAGCGAATATTTCCACGACTTGACAGTCGTACTCACGTAACAATACGATATTGTATATTTAAAAAATTTTTTCCCATTCGTAGGGCCTACTTATGTAGGTCGCAAACCATTACTTTATACCGAAATCGTGAGAAATTGACGAGTCGCAATCGATTATTCTTTTATAATTCGACTGTGATTGGTCAATATTTAACTTGTAACTCGTGCTTCCGACATAAGTTAACGGCTTACGATCTGCATAAATGTGTGGCGGCCGAACCTCGCCCGCCGTCACCGGCGGCGCCACCGCCTTGAGCGGCCTCACGTATGAGGAAGCAAGTTCTGCAGCCGCGCCCGGTCTTCTGACCGGCTCCAGCGCCACCCGGCTTTTCCGGCGTGTCGTACGCACCGCCGGAACCACGAGGTGTTACGCGACCCCGCCGGCCAATCACGTGTTCTGTAGCGCGATCGTGTTTTGTTTCGAAGCGTCCCGGCGGTCGTGTCAGGACCCCGGCTCGCTCTCTACCCTCTCGGACTCTGAACAGTACGGATGTGCTCGCGAGTGTTCCTCGGTGTTCACCCTTGTGCGTTCCGCCTCTCGCGATTCCGCAACAGCTGAGTGCGAGTGACCCCTGCGCCACGCGTCGTCCTCGCGACACCTTGAACGGCCTGTGTCTCGTATCTCTCCCCGCGTGAGAGAACGAGCCGGCTCCGCGTCCCAGCGAGCCGAGCTCTCACTGTAAATAGCGTTCCGATTTCTGCGTCCCGCGCTGCGGCCATTTTGTTCTACGCCGCGTTCCTTAGTTTTTAGCACATCCTTTACCTTTGTTACGTTTGCGAGTTTGTATTTAGCCAGAAAATACAGCCGCATGTGAGCAGTCATAAGGACTCCGCTTTATTAGCGCACACCCACAGGGCTACCCGTACTCGAGACCTTCCTCTCCTTTCCTTCTGCACGCGCGGTGGCCACAGGCTATCCCCGCTCCCCACAAATGGGTCTTTAGTTTCCGTTAACCATTCATGCACTTTGCAAGTATGTATACTTTATGTGTGTAAAAGGATTTGAAATTTTACGAAGCCATTTCGGAGAATGGTGGAACCTGTGATTTTATAGAGTTTTCGTTTTGTTGACTCGACCCGACTCGGGCAGCATTTCAGTATTCTCTACAGTATTGTAAACTATAATATATGTAACATGAGCTATAGATTGCATTATTGCAAAGATTATCGGAACGCTGTCCGAGTTTGGTCGAGCCACCAAACCGGAAACGCCATTAGTAGTCACCGGTCACTCCAATGTTTTCTTCGTTCAGTGAACACAACGTTTGTACAACCGTTGAGTAACAATTATTAACTTGAGTGAAAATGATCAATTAGAGCAGGATTGAACCCGAGTTTAGTGAAATTTAGTGAACTCTGCTCTAATTGGCTAAATTCAATTCAATCTCCAATATGCAGTCTGATACGTGTAGCTTTAACCTAACCTAATCCAGTTTTCCCGCGACACTTGTGCACACCTGTCGAAAATTAGTCGAGTAAGGTTAACCCCTGATGTGAATTAGTAACGCCTAAGGAAGTTTTAATTGTAAATTTCAATCGTATTTAATTACTATTTATAATAATTTACAACAAGGACGAAATTAAAATTATACAGTTACTAAAAGTTTATTAGATAACTGAAAGTTATATAGGATGTCCATGCTTGCGGAATCTCGGCGAAAGAAGAAATGGTCTGTCGACCCGCAAGGGAAGCGATGGAGCAAAGGTTAATATTTGAAAATATTTGAGATTTCTCACAGAATATAGAAGTTCGGGAATTTCTTCTCACCTTAGTTACGAGTACATACAATTATATGTAATTATAAAATACGATTTTCGTAAGAGAGATATATCTAAATAATTTTACGAAAGTTAACATTTAGTTTCTTCCACAAGAGAGAATAATGACTTTAATTTTATATTTGAATTATAAACATAAAATTGTTCACACATTTTTATTCTTATATATTAACGTATATATATATATATTAACATTGGCTATAGACAATGACAAAATTGGCCAGAAAATGTTGGAGAAAATGGGCTGGACCAGTGGAAAGGGATTAGGTGTTAACGAGCAAGGTATTACAGAACATATAAGGGTAAACAAGAGGACTTTTCAGGGTGAAAAAATTGGTAATAAAAACATTTAATATTTTTTATAAAAGCATTTCTACAGGATATATACCAGTAACTAGCAGCATGATGCTTAATCATATGTTCTTTCTTTGAAGGTATAGGATATGACAAAGATTTATATATGAAGGATATATGCGAACATCAGAACAAATTTGACAAATTATTGCAACAACTTGCAAAGCATCATCAAGAAGAGGATGAAACTGTTGAGGAATCGGCAAGTAACAAAGAAGACCTAAATAGGAAATCATTGGAACTAATGTCTAAACAGAGTCGTGCTCGATTGCAGTAAGTACATGTATATGATGTTCATACTAATGATTGTCTCTTTTATGCAACAGTATTATAAATTGCATGAGAATTTATATTAATATGTGAATATTTATAATAATTACAATATTATATACTTATGTGAATATGAACATTCCAGCTATCAAAAGTTTATACGTGGCAAAGATACAAGTAAATATAGCCCAAGAGATCTGGTAAGCATTTTTGGTAAAAAAGAATTAACCAGTAAAATTGGAGTCAATGTGGAAGAAGATGCCAATATTTATGAAAATGAAGCTATCGGCACCAAAGATAATTGGGGCGGTGTTGTCACTATAAACAGTGGCAACATGGCAGATTACTTTAAACAAAAACTACCGAATCATAAGGAAAATTTATTAAATAACACTATCAATAATCAAGCAGCTGATTCTGAAAGTGAGACCGAGCAGTGTGTCGGTTTTGGATTTATACCAAAAACTGACAATACATTGTCCACCAATGGGATACCAAAGAATTTTGATGAAAAGAGCAATTATGCTTTTGATAATCCTTGTTTGAGATTGAATAGTCCTACGGGAACTACGCTTAATGCCGAGGATTCTTCCAAAAAATCGAGAAAAAAAAGGAAAAAGGGATTTGTTCCGGAAAGTGCTAACTTATATATCGACGAAACGAACGAAGTTAATGTCGAAAGGAAATTAAAAATCAGAATTACTGATGGAGATTGTAAAGATGGATTCACGAATCTAGCTCTCAATTTAGACACAAAGTCTGATGAAGATTGCAATGGTAAGGAATTTGAAGTATCAAGGGCACAGTTTGGTTTAGAAAACTGTGCCCTGGATTTGACGGATGAAAAAAACAATAAGAAACGTGTAACATTTAACGATCATGTAGAGTACAGCATAGATGCCACAAAGAAAGGGAAATCTACGCTAGATAAGTTTGAAGTTGAAAATAAAAAGCACAAGAAGAAACGGAAACGGGAGAATGTTACCACTTTGTCGAACGGATTTGTGAATGAGGCATTAGATGTAGAAGTATCCGCAGAAATTAATGATAATGAATTGAATGAACATAAAAATACAAAGATTAAAAAGAGAAAGATATGTAAGACGTCCAGTCTAGAGACAATACAAGAATTACCTGAACGAGAAAAGGAAATATCTGAAATAAACTTGGAAGATGTTACTTTGGATACTAGTGTTGTTGAAAATAAGGAAATAGATACTGCGGTGAAGAAAAAGAAGAAAAAAAAAAGTAAAGAAATCTTATTTATGGATAATAATATCATTGGTGTCGTGAACGAAGAAGCAGATATAATTGAAAAGGTAATTAAAAACAAAAAACATAAGCTAGATAGCAAAAAAAGAGAGGTAGTAAGTTATGAAATACATAGTAATAAGGAAGACAAAGAAGAATGCGAAGTCACATCAAATGAGATATTAGAGAAATTAAACACAGATCAACAACAAATTAATAACCATATGGTCAAGATTAAGAAGAGAAAAAATAGGAAAGAACAAGTACTTGTAGAAGATTCAGCAAAAATTAAAACTTCACCGGTTGTTATGACTATAACAGAAGATAGTGTGCCATTAGAGACAGAAAATACTGTACGGAAGAAAAAGAAGAAACGCAATAAAGACAATTGTTTAGAAAGTGAGATTAAGACGTGCGATGTGGAAAAGGAAATTTCTGATAAGGAAAATACGGTCGAGGAGCGAGAATCGACTATCAAGTTATCAAAGAAAGATAAGAAACGTAAACGATCAATAAATGAATTAGATAATGAAAATTCCACCTATCCTAGCACAGAAATGACTGATGCTAATGTTATTAATAATCAGGAAAATATCGACGATGCTGAATTTATCGATACATCTTCGAGAAGGAGAAAGAGACAAGTGATTGATTTTACAAATAGTATAATTCACAGTCCGTGGAATAAGAAAGGAAGAATGACTAAGAAGATATTGAAGAGATTTTTCTACGGGAATTTAATAGCAGATTTTCCTGGTTCTAATATTCAAGAAATTGAAGGATACGGTGTAGATGCTAGTAGTAATTAAATTTGTTTCATTTTTATAATAATCATGCAACGTAGGTAGTAATTTACTTCCTGATATAGATCTTGTATGTAACAGTGTTCATCATATAAATGTGTGTGTACATATTTCATCTCATAAAAAAAGCATAAGATATTGCATTTTAATATATATATTTATGGAACAAATTTTGTGCTGTTTTAACATAACTGTTATTTTATAGTTAGATTTTTACTCGTGTAAAAATGACGAATGAATGCTGTTGCATTCTATATACATATATAATATACATAGTGAAAAAATAACTTATTAATGACTAGATGAAGACGAATAGTTTACATTTAGAGAAAATATTTGAAGTGAAGACCATTGCTAACAATGTTGTGGTTTTGTAAATAAATTTTAGTGTAGATACATTTTTTCTTATCTCATGTTTCAAAGATATTTAAGATGATAATAATTGCCTCACCATATATATGGGTTTATATTAAAAATAAAACTATTTTAAAATGTAACATATTTAAGATGTAATACATATACCAAGAGTATATTTAACGTGATTAATTATATGGTACATTCCTTGAAATGGTTTTTATTTCATAGCTATATCCTTTTTATTAATAATATGATTTAAAAAATTATTTTTCATAAATATTAAAATTTTTATGTAGCAGTAAGATCATAATTTTATTTTTTATTTAAAATCTACAAGAATACGCCTATAATGCAAAAAATAAAAGAAAATGCTAATATATAAGACCAGTATATGATTTAATTTATATTACGTTATCAATCTTGTACTATGTTATCATATATATCATTAATATCTTCCAAACTTAGAATTCTTTCACGAATTTGAAAAGCACTTTTCAAGTCTGATTCATTTAATTGTACTACATTATGTGGTACATAATCATTTGTTACTGAAACAACATAATATTGACGACTTTCCAACAAATGTTTTATTTTCAGGGTATCCTTTGGGTCACATGTAAACTGCAATAGAAAAATGTGTTGTTTGTACAAGATAAAAAAAATCATATTTCTGGCATAATTTCTTATGTTATTTTCAATACGAATTTATATTTTGCTTATATTTTTAAATGACATTTAAGGCAACTTTGTTTCGAATTATTATACTTAAAAAACTCAATTATATACCTGGAAATATTGTTCATCATCTTCTTCAAATTCTTCTACATTCTCTGCACCAACATTAATAGCATCATCTGTGGCCTCTTCTAAAGTGCCCTTCTTCTCAACTATAATATTTCCTATGTGTGCAAATAGGTTTTTGATAGAAGAGTCTGCGATTTTCCCACTATATTTGCAATAGAAAGAAGTATTAAATAGATTTCATTATTATTGCATACATATATATAGTAGAGAGAAATAGCATGAGAATATTTTTCACAGTGTTTAGAAATTATTGTGCGCATTTGTATAGAGTCCCATTTTGGAGAGATATGCTGTATATAAATACATTCATTTACCTGCATTTTTTCAATTTGCAATTCAGCTCTAATTGCATTTGCTTTGTATTATCCGTCATATAGTGTGCAATCATCACATAAGAACCTGGCCCACGAATTTCTATTGTTCCTTCTTTAGTTTTATCTTTCCGCGATTCTATCTTTTCTATGCAGTTTTTTATTGTGGCAAGAGGCATATTTGCTTTCTTAGCTTGTTCAATAATTTGCGCCAATTTCAAATTGTCTTCAGGTTTTGCGCTGCCATGCTCTGAAGAAAGATGTTACTTTTTATTTTCTTAATTTTCTCATAAGAGACAATATATTTAAACATAGTAATAAGAATAAAAAATGATAGTTTGCGTTTAGGAAACACAACAGTTGGGTGATTCGTCAACATAATTGGTATAAATTTAGAGATCTAACAGTAAAGACCAATATGTGTGCAGAAGCTAATAATATAGCAAGCATTGTATACAACTGTCAGTGAGCACGGCATACCTTTTATTGCAAATTTCATTTGATTTCTAAATCTAGAAAACAGTACCATTTTTTCGTGATCATTTGCAGCCTTTATATGTTTTATATTTTGCCACTTGCTATGACCTTTAAATCTTTTGCCATCCTTAAGCGTCAAATAAATGCATCTGTTAATCAGCACTCTGTTCATTTTCAAGAGAGGTTATGTCGAACAATATATTACATGGATAATATATCCGTTTGTTTCGCCGAAACACCCACTTTTTCTTATATTTCGCTTATTTTCTTCTTGAATGGTCGAGAGAGCGAGGAATCTACGCCAATTATGTGTATCTCACTTCTTTTCTAAAGTTCATAGACAGGAGAATATGTAGATGGAGCATAAGGTCCTACTTTAAGCGAGGCAGGAGATATAGTTCTTATACTTCGGTCGATTTCAGCTACCCCTAAAAAGTGTGTGATGAGTCTATTTTATACCAAAATTAAAACAGGGAAGATTAGCAAGGGCCCCTACGCAAGGTATGTTGTTAACTTTAAGTTAAAGTCTAAAGCCAGCGGTACACGATGCTCGTTTTCGTGCTGGATTGCTTTTTGGATGGAAATACTGCGTTCTGATTGGTGCATTTCCGAAAATGTATCACGATATATTGAGGATGCGTCGTACGAATTAGTCAGATGGAGAATTTCTAAAGTCCCTAACATTTTCCCTAGATATAACCATCCACAATGAGCGGGCATCGATGTTTGAAGAACACCGATGATCTTGCTCAGCGTATCGCAGCCATAACTGAGAAGAAGACACTTTGGAGTCCGAGACACGGATGTTCTATGTTTTCTCGCGTCCGAAGGAAGGTCTCGCGCTCGAATAACAGTCGGGAGCAGAGAGGATAAGTCTTATGCGATTGTCGTATGTATAAACTAACCTTTGAAAACAACATCTCGCGGAACAGATGACCGGGTGATAGTTTGTTGCGGCAAATCTCCAGACAACGTAACGTCTAAAATCGAAACATAAGACGTCTGAGAGACGTCTTCATTTTTCGATTTACAAGTGAAATTAGTATCTCGGACATCGCCGAGAGACTCTCAGGTATCTACGGTTTCCCGAGAGAAAGACAAATAAGTTGAGATTTAGTTAGGTCAATCCTCTAATAGCAAGGTGGAATTTCAATGTATCCAGGAAGGTGGGGTCGAAGACTACGCTCTGTTTTGTTCATTTTTTATCTAACCAACGTACAGAATAGGTGAAAGAAGTTAATAATAACATGAAGTATTCCTTTAGAAGAGAAACAGCGAAAATAAACGAAGCTATGTACGGTAAAAATATTTCGTGTTGAATTTAACACATTTGGCATATTTATCTAAATTTTTGTGTTAATTTACACGAAGTGAATACATTGAAAAATAACACAAATATTATGTCAAAAAGTATGAAAATTAATATCGACGATATATCAATTCATTTCGGGCCGGACTGCAAACAAATTGAGACCCGTTTTTAGATAATTGGAATCCTCGGGACTCAAGATACCTAAAATCAAAAATTTTCAACCGTTTTCCCCGGAAAATAGTCGGAACATTTACCTTGAGTGACACCTGGCGTACACCTGGTGGATCATATAATGGGAATCGTCATTATCGGCGATTTGAACTTTGGCAATAATACCCCATTGTTTTTCATTTTTTCGTTTTTTGTTAATTTTAATTAATTAAAAAGGTGTGATTTGCAAGATTATTTCCACTCCCACTTGCTATCAGGGGGATGATGGAGTGATCAGGTGGAATTAATTTCTGAAAAACAAAAATCCGAACTATATTTTGGTAATAAGATCTAGGCCAGAATTTACCTATATCATAGATAACAACATTTTTAAAGACAGGTAAATTGCTGTCCCTATATAGGAACAGAGGGACGAAATGGGTCAATAGACATTGAAATATAAAATGTGTTACTTTAACACTTACACACGTTGAATAAACGGCTGAACGCAAAATATAGAATTAACAGAAACACATGTTAAATTAACAGACGGATGTGTTAGAAATGAAGCAGAAAAATGTTAACAAGAACTGATTTTAGCACAAGTATAAAATGTTTCTCACCGTATAAAGTCAATCTGACCTTATCATAACCACTTTACCGTTAGAGGACCGAGAAAGGACAGATCTGGTCGAAAATATCCCGAGATATCAGCGTAGAAATTGATTCGCATCGTGAATTCGCGACAAACATAGAAATAGAGCTGCATGATGCGAAGCTCATTTGCACACAGGCACAAACACGCGCGCACACACGTACGCACACACACTTACCTAGCCGCTTTTCTTTCAGGTTAATCACTGGCGGCGCGAGAATCAAAGGCAACGACGCTCGACGAGTCCCGTTCACGCGAGTCGCGTCAAAGGAACCAGCGGCTACGAAATTAACGCGATTAGGCCGGCGTGCCCGTTGACTCGCTCGGGGGTAAGTAAAAAGAATAGCATCGAACGAGTGGACTAAATTTAGAAGCCCAAGAGGGTGAAGGCGCTCAACAAGCCGGACGGAGGGTCGATACTTAACGGCGCGCGATCTTCGTCTTAGTGCTCGCGACGAAAAGCTGCGGTTTAAGCACACGATGAAACGAGCGCATCGCGATCGAGCGAGAAGAGACGCTAAGAGAACGCTACGTTACAGCGCGGAGGGATCTTTTCTTACGTCGACGCTCGTAAACCTCCAAGATTTACGCTCGACGCGCTGCGTTCTTTCTTGATTTTTTTCTCTTTTGTTCTCTAAAGGCTGGATGCCCGTTTTCGTCGTCGTTGTTGTCGCCGCTATTGTTGTCACACGCGACTTCCGCACGTTGGAATTATAATGACGCCCGGGTCGTTTCATTAGCGAAATTGCCTCACCCGGACTTGTGTGTGCCGTTTCCGTCATCATATTGAGGAAGTTAATTAGCAGTCAAGAGTGTACATATGTAGCCCAATCAATCATTCTCCATCTACTGAGATCGTTAGTCATTCGAGATGCGGCGCAAAAGCTCTCGACTCTGGTTACAAGTCAAGCGTTTGTCCTTGACGTAATGGAACGACCGCGGCCCGGGTCAAGACGGTAGGGTGATCGTTCGTCGCGTTTCAGAAGAATAATAGTTACGACTATCCGAACCCCCGGGGGAGAGGAGGAGAGAGGGTGCGTTGAAATTAATCGACGACACTCGGATGTACAGCGTGAACAAACGCGAAAGAACACTCGCTCGTTTTCCTATCGATGAGTTATTATCGAATGTGACAAAAAATAGCAAAAGCTTTCCACAATTAGACTCGTTAATAGTCACCAAACGTTCCGAATTATTGTTATACTTATTTACGTTAATCTCGTTTTGCTTATTGCGATATCGTCTATAATAAAAGTTGTCATCGTAATCATTATTAGTGTCATTACTGTTAATATTATTATTATGATCGCGAAGTAACGCGATCGGGGCTCTGAAAAGTCGACGAAGATCGGCGAGGATCGCGCAATAATCTCGAAAATTGAGCGAAAGATGCGCGATCTCTGTAATACACAAAGAAGAAGAAACGGGGAGGAATAATTTTGCCGGTGCGGCGAAACCGTCCTTGCTACCGCATATTCGTCGACAGCGATAAAATTTAATTGGCATGACCAAATTAGCGGGATCATTCGTAATTAGAGCGGAAACAATTCTGTCGCCAGGATGGAAAAAATTCCGCTGGATGAATTAGCGCCTTTGGGACACGTTAATTTGCCGTTAGAACAATATGGTGTTTTCTTACATTTACTAATTTGCTCTTACAGCAAGATAATTCGGCGAATGGCAGTTAGTACTCTGGACAAATTGTTCTGTCGTCCACGTAACAACTGACAGATTTTATCGCGACAGTATCGGAATTTGCAGCAGATTATTTTTCTCCGTGCAAATTCCCGCGTAAACATCTTCCCAAATTTTATATAACAGATTCCGATCAGAATACCCAAGGTAGTTTCAAACAATTTACCCCACTATATACCAATTGGAAATCCCATTTTCACTTCAACATGAGACGAAGCCTCTTTTCCGCGATGCCGATTGGCTGTGCTCTACTATTCTGCAACTGTTATCGCCAGAGTCGAGCGACAGTTTATCAAATCCGAATATTAAATTAGAAAGTTAATAAACGAGGTTACTTTTTTAACATTATTAATAGCACGCGCGCGCGTAGTGTAGCTTGTAAAAGTATGAACGCTCGGAGCGCTTCGTATATTTTGATATCAATCGTAACGCAAAACAGAAACCAGGAATAATCTTTGGGAGGACGTTGAAGGTGACCGAATACAAGATCTCTTTACTTCTGCCGCTTCCAAGATACGTTGACAGTGTGTCAATTCAACATTACGCTTGTCTACTTCTTCTTAACACACTCCCCGTGTTAAGGTAACACGAAATTTAGAAACCGTTTTCAATACAAAATCCTTTACCACGTGGAACGTTTGAAACGTTGAAACGACGCACTTTCGACCGTGCGTCTTTCAGCGCAACTAAAAGATCCATCATTATTTTGGGAAATCAGATTGGGATCCCAATTAGATCCCAGGGTGTCTTCTGTACTCGGGTGTGTGTGTGTGTGTGGCGCACACTTGAATTCGCGCGGGATCGACACGCGCCGTCCGAACGAAAACTTTCAAGCTTAATGACCGTCGCGCGGCGCGAGTAAGTTGTCCCTGCGTCTTCCTCTCCGACTCCCGGCCCATCCGTTCTTTCTTTTCCTGCGCGTGTGTGTGCGCGCCGATGCGGGCCGCGTATAGGTGTGTACAACAACGCGTCGTGTTCAATTTTATGAAGAAGAACGTGTGGGGGTTGCCGACGGAGCGACGTTTAATAAAGGGCGTGGATGTGTACGTGGATGGGTGTGCGCGCGTGTATGCGCTAGGGGTGCTAGTTAGCACGGCGCTTGGCGCCGGCGACGACGTCGCCGTCTGGACGCGTATAGTCTCCTCCCGGCGTTCTGCACCGACGACCTTTTAAAGCACACGCTGACGCGAAACGATGCTTCTTTAAACAGCGCCGAGCGAGCCAATGATACGAAATAAAGTAACTTTAGGCGTTTAGCGCGACGCGCATCGATCCGTTATTATGAAAATTCTCGAGACCGCTGGTGATCGGTGAATCTCGATTAATTAACCAATCACCCAGATCACTCGGTCTCGTTCGGAATTTTTCTTGTTTCACCGCATGATGCAATAAGACGCTCTCTCTCTCTCTCTCTCTCTCTGTCTTGATTTCGAGCGGCACGCAGCACGCTCAACTCGCGAGTTTAATTCGGCGAAAATTTGGAAGTTGGGAGAAAGAATTCGCCGCGAGGCTTCCCGATAACAGCTCACCGTTGATCTTTCGTTGAGCTTGCAGCGATAAGCGATCGTGAAATGCGAAAGTTTCAAGTGGGAGCGATTCCCAGTTCGAAGCGTAATCGCGCGCGGGTCGCCCACCACGAGGTCCCGCGGCAATTAGCTCTGAATTATGCCTCCTCAGAACTCGTTTGCGAAACGCGGATCGTTTTCAGTTTCAATAAGCATACACTCCGCCGAGTCGAAATGCCGATGCTATTTCGATTGCTTTTAAGGATAGTTTACGCCTATTTAGAGATGCGAGGCCTGTAAAAACTGATAAAAAACCTACCTTGACCATACTGACATTTGTTCATTTCTCTCTCTTGAACCTTTAATTCTACACAAAGAAAAAAAGACCGGTTGGATTATTAACATGACAATGGAAACGCGTTTAGTTCATTCATTGTCATGTTAATTCCATCTTTTTTCACCGTACATAGATTTAATTTTAATGTTAGCTTGAACAATCCATTTTGACGCTAAATTGCGAAAACGAAAAATTAAAACATCACTGGAGCCGAAATAAAATAGATTATATTATTAAAATTGAATTCGTGTGTGTGTGTGTGTGTGTGTGTGTGAATTTATTTTGCAATCTTAGCTCTTACTGTTATAGAATTGAAGGTTCAATGTAAACTTAAAATTTCGACACTTGTCAAACATTTTCTTAACTCTCACGAGGAAAAGTGGGGTAACAGGTCGTAAAAAGAAAGGTGGAACCACGAGTGACCCAAATGTATGAATATGCATTCTATTTGATTAAAACAAGGGAAGGGCACAAAGATAATATGGAATAATAAGAGAGAGAGAGAGGGGGAGGGGGGAGAGAGAACAAAAATATGTTTTTCAAAAATATTATAATAATACGCAGAATTTAAAAAAGTACTCGATTCAAATAAATAACAATCACTCCAATACTCTTTAATAAATCTTTACTTGGATCAAGTAATAAATTTACTTGTTCCAGGTAAAATATTTATCTGAACCAAGTAAAATTCACTTAATCCGAATAAAAATTGCTAAGGAATATTGGAGTAATTATTTATTTGAATCTAGCACTTTTTTTTCTACACATAACAAATAAATGCCTCGTTAGGGCTATAAATGACTTCTATCTTTTCTTGAGAGGGTTAACGCCGTTATGACACGATCGAATTCTTGTCCAGAGTATGCACGGGCATGTTTCTCCGTAATTTCGGTCCGGATGCGATTCGGAGCGTGATAGACTCGCGCGATTAGGACGATCAGCTCGGTCGGAATATCGCCTAGATATTAACATTGCAATGCGCGATTACGCTTCACCAGCAGATATATTTTCAGCATAACTGACCCCCTTTTCGTGCGCGACAATAGCGGATCTTTCCTGATTCCGTTGCGACAGACACCTCGCTGCAATATTCAACAACGTTTTTGCTACCGACCCGTTGTTCGATTTTCACTTCACAGGCACAGAAATATCCGATATCAATTGGATTCGCGTTCGTCGCCCGCTCGCTCGCTCGGCCGCGGATGCTCGCCACTCGGTCACCCGTTACACCTTGCGCGTGTGTGTACATCAGTGTTTTCAATTGAATTGGTACTGTGCCACCCTTCTCCGCTCTTTATTAGCCGGCAGCGGTGAAGAGAGAAGGTCGGTCGGTTTGCACGTAATCCAAGTTAACATTCGGGGGATTAGAACTTCCTCTCCCGCCGCTCTCATTCGTATATTCTGGCCCCGCTTCCCGCCCGATCCTGGCGGTCGCAGTTCGCCGTATTTAGTCAGCAGTAAAAGCTTTAATGAAAAGGATCTTGGTTTCACGAGGCACTAAAATCGGTTATATTGGCGGAGAGGAGAGAGGTTCGACGAACGAACGCCCTTTATCGAACGATCACATAAATGCGCCCGCCCGCTCCCCCCTCTCCTCTATCTCTCTCTCTTCCTCCCCTATCTTTCTCACTTCCTCTACCTCTTCTCTCTCGTTTTCTCTTTCTCGTAACTTCCCTCTCACGTCTTGAGACCGGCAAAACTTTGGATTAAAAACACCCCGGAGCGAGTAAGGCGGTGTAATCGGGCGAGAAAAGTCCGTTCGCGTGTGCCGCGCCGTAGTTTACGGCCGTTCGTCGCTGAGTTATATACATGCACGATAAACATCATAAAATTCGCGTAACATACTGTTCCATCAATTTCACTTCACCCTCGCGGGATTATCATCCCGCGTCGCGAAGCGTTAATTTACGTTACGAAAGGGAAGATGAGAGAGAGAGAGAGAGAGAGAGAGAGAAGCGTATTTATTTCCAGATTTTCTCGCAATTAGTAGCTTAGGGCTAATATGCATAGTCGGATCCTATATTTAAAATCGTCTGAAGTTCTTTCTCAGCTGCTGTACGAATGGTTTCATTGGCTATGAAGCATCCGGAGATGGTCTTTAGATCTTAAATACAAGATTGGATCATGTGTGAACATATATTAATCTTAGGATCGCTCTCAACAAACTCTAATTCTCACCTTTATATCCGGTTTTTCATTTTCTGGTTAACTTGTGATTAAGACTTAATCTGATGATAATGTAAAAATCGTGTCTATTCATAGTTTTTCTGTTCATGGTTAATCATTAAACTTTTAAAAGTTATCACCGCCAAACCGTCAGTTTAACGATGAACCATGAATAAGAAACACAACTTTTGCATTATTATCTTATTTATTAGCTAACAATATTAGTATTGTGTCTAAACTACAAGTTAACCGGAAAATAAGAAACCGGGCCGAGTAGTTTCTCGCGGAAAACCGCTTTCGCGAAACTTTCGCGCGACTTCGCGTCCGCTTCGCGAGATGTGTGACAATTACGATTACGCGCGAGTCGATAACGTCGATACGTCGCGAACGGCAGATCATGGTCGATACCGCGCGACGAGCGACCCGGCAAACAAGGGGCGCTCATTATCGCGACGAGAGACGACAGCGGCGACAGTGTGTCCGCCGATTGTAGTTCTTCCGCCCACGTTTTATCCCCCGCATGTGCGCCTGCGGGTTTAACGGTGTGTTCCCATCGTTTATTAAGTTAACGATCAGTCGTGAACCTCACCTTTATTGGATGCTTTTCGGCGAGCATATGGGCGGGCAGGAGAACAATGGTGGATTTAGAGCCGCGAGGCGCGTTATAGCGTGACGTTCGAGGACCTCCGTTAATAATGTCGAACTTTCCAACTTCGACTGTTACAACGAAGAAGCAAATAATCACGAGCCCCTGTTGTAAATCAACTGTTCGACGCGATGGGGCTTCACCCCTCTCGTATCCGCACGGAATAATCCGCATTACCTGTTGGAGAGAAAAAGAGAGAGGAAATTTTAGTCGAAATTTTAGTCTTACATCAAGTCCATTTAATTCCATATGAAGTCTTCAAGCGGAAAAAAAACGGAATGCCGAATAAAGGTAGTTTTTTTTAATGCAGGACGAAAGTTTCGAGTAACAGAGGAGGAGATGAAAATGCGAATACTTCCGAGTCTTCCCGTGATATTCTCCGCGCGATGGTTGTCCCTAAGGCTTTCCGCCGACGTCGATTCTACAAGAGCAACGTGCGCCGCGTATCGTCGGAAACGTCGGAGAACGTGGCGGAAACCAGCGCGCGGTCCTCGTCGGAATTAGACCGAGTTTAATCGAAGCCAATTATCGGAGCCGAACGTGAAAATAGACGCTGGCGCGCATTAGGGCGCGAACCGAGCGTTAGAAATGTAACCGGCGGATAAATATGCATGTAAATCTATATAGCCGAAGTGTGTCAGGATGCTAATTTCGCGCGACGTTCCAGTTATTTACGACGCCACGTGTTCCGCCGTCAATTACCATTTTATGATAATCATCAATTTAATTTTGACGGCGGATTGACCATCGGAATAGCATGCTGCAACGACATTGCGAAGAAAAAAAGGGGAGAGAAAAAAAGACGTCGATCGCTCGGAGCAACCGAGCGGAGATTATCGGATTTTTTCCTCCCCCGATGTACACGTGCGCGCGTGTACACATTACACTCGGAGGGATGAAACGCGCGCGTCGGATTCGCGTCGTAAGATAAGAACGTCAAAATTATTCGCCCCCCCCCCCTCTCCCGCACGCCGTCGCACGCGGATTTCGTCGTACGTTTGACGGTCACTCCAGCCGCCGGTGTATTAACACTAAAAGAAACTACCGAAGCCTGTCAAATCAAAACCGGTTTGTGTAATCCTTTCTCATAAAAGTTACTCCGATTTCTAATGGTGCATTCTCTGAGATTAACCGTAATTTTTGTCGCAATGTCGTAAATGAATAAATATTTCTTTTCTTTGCATTGTTGTTTTTTTTTTTTTCAAAAATCTTATTTAAACTGCTCCGGTAGGAAGGAAAATACACGTTAATCGTCGGTAGTTTTAATGTTAATGCATACCGCAAATGGCCCGTGTATCTCTCTCTCTCTCTCTCTCTCTCTCTCTTTCTTTCTCTGTCCTCGCAGTTGCAATTTCGGGGGTTTATCGAAAAACCGCGTGAATTTGCTCAACACGTCGCACGAGATCGCGTAAAGCAAGATCCGCCCGGTGGGGAGGGGGGAGGGGTACAATGGGGGGG